TGCTTCATGCATTCAAGGACAAGAGTAATGGTATTTATCTTTGAACCAGACTAAATGGAGGCTTGTTCAACATCGTAAGCTCTAGAGCAAAACCAAGGTGAGGGAACTGGTTCTGAGAGATTTCCTGTTTGTGGATGATGTGGTCTTGGTTGCCCACAGTGAATCTTCCTTGCAAGATCTCTTGGTCAGATCACAGGAGCTTTGGGATGGCAGTTAGTCTCAAGAGGACTGTGATCATGTACCAAGGGGGTGGGGGGTGAAAGAGCCAATACCTGACATCACTGGTGTCATCCCTGCTTTATGGTTCAGAAATTTGGACTACATATGCTAGGCATATCAAGAGACTGAACGATTTCCACATAAGATGTCTGTATAAGATCCTGAAAATAAAGTGGGAAGACAAATACCAAACACACAGGTATTGAAGCATGCAGGACTGACACACTTAGAAACCACTGTCAAGAAGAGGAGGTTGCAATGAATTGGCCATGTCAGGAGCATGGGAGAAGACGGTATTCCCAAGAATATTTTGTATAGTGAGATTCGAGATGGCTCCAGAAAGCAGGGTCACCCTCTATGATTGTACCACGATGTGTGCAAAAATTATATTAAGTTGTTCAACATTAATGTAGAAAGCTGGGAGGACCATGCAGTATCCCATCTGATCTTGAGCAAACTTCTGGCACTGGGTGAAGCTCAACCTGAAGCAGCTTTGATGCAAAGTGGGAAAGAAGAAAACAGCATGCTGTAAATTTGAACTCCAACTCAGACAACCTATAGATCTGTGAAACTTGCAACAAGCCGTGTTGCTCTCAAATAGGGCTCGTCAGCCACAAACTAATTCATCAGGAATCTGATTAGACCTCTTATGTGTACACCATGATCTAGAGCAGTGCTTCTCAAAGTGGTGGTCCGCGGACTGGTGCTGGTCCGCGAGCCACCGGTCACTGGTCCGCAGTGAGTTGCCAGGAAAGAAGGAAATATATTCGCCAGTCCGCAGCGAGTTGCCAGGAAAGAAAGAAATATATTTTCAGGAGCATAACATTAATATGTCATAGCACCACAGTTCATACGTTCCAACACTCCAAGTGACATCACGTCGTGTGAGGTGAGGACAGAGAAAGAAACAGCCGGTCGCGCATTTGTGTAGCGCTGTTACATGCAGTTGCTGCCATCAGCTGAACCGGGCACCAGTCCCTGGCCTGCTAGAAAAAAAATTGCTGGTCCACCACATCAGATAGTTTGAGAAGCAGTGATCTAGAGGACTGGCAGTTGCCTACTTGTGGTGTTGCCTGCTTCAAACTCTGATCTAGTTTTTATCTTCATGTTTTTCAGTAGGAAAACTTGGATCTGGTAATGGCAGTCACTACTATTCTGTAAGTGAAATGACATGGATTCTTAGAGGCTGTGAATTTCCATTTTGAAACACCGATGGAGTAACATCTGAATCCTTTTTTGCATGTAAGCTTATAAAGCACCACCTTTGTGGATGACTCAAAGTGTATGAGAAGGATGGTGAGCAAGGCTCTAGTGCTGAAATAAAGGGATGTGGAATTGTCACTTTGTTAGCTGACTTCCTCACAGGAAGTCCCAAAGGCTCTTAAATAATAACCTTTTGCATTCAAGTACAGAATTTAGCCTTTATTTGAGCCAACACTAGCACTACAAAATTGAGAAAAAGAGGGGATCAAGTTTTGGGAGTTGTTTTTGTTTGTTTGTTGCACCATATTTTGTGATTAATTGATTGAACAAACTGGAGTGTACTACAACAGAAAGAGCAGTTTATTTAAATAGTCCTTAAGGCAGACTGTTGTTGTTGTTGTTCGTTTTTGTTTTTGCTTTTCATAAACCAGGCAAAAATAATGTATATTTTATCCCTCTAATTTAAGAAAGAGAACCGGAGATTGCATTTGGTAGCTGCACCCAGTGACTTCACTTATTTCATAGTTTGCTGCTGTGCATCACTCTGTAGTATAACTAGGGAGAAATTTAAATACGTTGTCATATTCATCCATTGTTATATGAATCGCTTCACAATCTTCCCAGAAACTTTATTTACAAATCATGCTCTCTCTGATATGCAGGTCATAACTATTTAATTTTTCAAATGACTTTAAGGAGAAAAATCCTTCAGTTGAGTTGAAATAACTGTTCGCTTTTGTATCATTTTAAACATTTTATCTTCAAGGACCTTTCAAACTGATAACATGCACTACAAAATTCCTAATCTGAATATATGTTGCGGTACATAGTAAATACTGATATCATTTAGCTTGAAAGAAATATTTGCAGTCTGAATTAATTTTCCAGCAATAGAATTTGGCCGTCCCAGTGTTGGATTCCTTTCTTTTTGAGACTTTTGTAAGTGTGAGAGAAGTAAATTAATTATTGTTGAGTTGTTGTAATAGAGTCCTATCAATTCAGACATACATAGTGTTGGTAAATTTGTATCTTGATTGACACTACAGTGTAGGTTTGTATGTGAGGGATTAGATTGGTTTTCTGGAGAATGCTTGGTATGCCCTGTTAGGCAGGTGCAGTCGTTGGAGAGGGAGCAATATTATGCGAAAATGACAGCATCGTTATGAAAAAAGGATTCTCTTTTGATCTAGATGTGCTGCTCAATACTGCCACTTAAAGGACCCACATTCAAATTCTAGTTAGTCCACCCTTTCCTGGGCTAGGATTATTGAGGAAGGGAACGGCCAGTTATGTCAGTTGCTACTGGAGTTATACAGAAGGCAGGGCAAGGTGGCAGTCTACTGACTAGCTTGTTCAGAAATATGCAAGTTTTGCCATGATTCACTCTCTCCTTTTGTAGAAGGAAGGTAGATGTAAGAGAGGGTTAAACTACAGATACAACTTTTTATCTATTATTCCCTTGAATCTGGACCATGCTGGTAAGGATTCAAAGGCTCAAAAATGTACTTGATATATTTTGGGCAAGTGTGGCCTTGCAGTCACAGTTTGCTGATTTTTATGTTCTTTTTTGAAATGCGTATACTCAGGCGGAGAGAATAAGTGAAGTTTTAGACCTACAAACTGCAGTGACAGCTTGTCTTGTTTGCAGTACCTCTGTAACACAATAAACAATGTGATTGGTATAGATCAAGGCTGTGAAACATGGACTGTGGGCCAGATGCTGCCCCCAGAACAGTTTCATGCAGCTTGGTAGGCTATTTGAAGTGGAGTGAGGGGTTAGTGTGTGTCCTGTTGTAGAATCTGGGACCCCTTGGCCCTGGTAGAAGTGGCCAGTGGTGGCAAAGAGTGCAAGTGAGGGCTGTGCTGACACAACCCCCACTTGTACTGCAGCCACCAGTCCCATCAATGCCATAGGCCAAATGTGGCCTGGGAAGGAGTCTTGCAATCTGGATCCAGCCCAGGACACAGGGTGAGTATGAAACATTGAGTATGCCTTCTATGAAGCAGCTAATGCTTATTAAAGCTACACAGTCTGTTGTCTTTGTGCTAGGATTTTAAAATGCTAGTACTAAAAAAGAGCATACTTCTTTGGCAGACTGGAGTGACCACCATTTGCCTGTTTCTAATGAGTAGTTTGTATTCCCTTCTAGAGGGGGATAAGAACAAGGTAGCTTGACTTAATGTTATCCCATTTTTTCACATGGCAGCTTCTGTCTGGAAAAGGGCTATTTAACATAAGCCATTCAAGTAGCAAAGAAAATCTGTCTTCAAATCTTTCCCTCCCCCTACATGAAAAAAAATTTGAAGTGAAACTAGTTCTTACAAAATCTCTGGAGCCTTAAGGGCTCCTTCATCAGGAAATCAAATGAAGCACTTGCACAGACTGCGAACTTCTCCACACTGGTGTACTAATGTTGAATCTTTTCAGAAAAGATAACTTTCAGGTAGATACGGGTTAGTCTAGTCTCTCACTACTTGGCTTTTGGCCTGCTATCAGGTAATACTAGCAAAGGTTCCAGTTCTGGTTTGAATGACCTGAACACCTATCTGTTGGGACCTAGATTAGGATGCCAGTTCCTTATGTAAACTACCAGACAGCTCTCAAATGATGATTTGGGCTTCCTTCTGACCTAGGCTGGATGGAAACAACTGACCCAGAAGTGGGACTCTTGTCTTTCTGAGGTGTGTATTTTAATATTAAAAGCTGCTCTTTGTTTTCTAAAATGAGGCAAGCCTGACTGAGTTTCAAATGCATGTTTTATTTTGTGTCTTATTTTTGAGAAATTTCAGCTTGTAGAGGTGAATTGTAAGGAAGCTACACAGTGTTCATCCCATTGGATATGCTGGTGTAATAGAGCTTTCTAGTTATTCTTCATCCTGATTAAATCTGTACATCTTATTTTCTCCTTACTTAATGCTGACTTTTGAGCAGTCAAGAATTACTTGACATCAGCAAAATAATGAAAAGCAGGAAGTAAAGCAAAAATATGTAGGTCTGAACCCATTGCTCCTCTACACTTAATTTTAGCCTTGGTTCATAGCAGAATGATACATGTCATTTGAACTGAAGTCTGATAATGAACACCAAAAATGCAGGGTAATAAGCCAAGCCGTTTAGAAGTGCTTGTACTTTACACGTACAAGTTTGAAGTTGCTAGGCTTAAAAAAAAGAAAAGAAAATGCTCATCGTCTTAAAATGGCACCTCTTTAAGGTAACTCAGGTTAACATCCAAAATCACTGTCTGTTTTTATGGTTATTGCCATGGATTTTAAAATAGTACTTCAGAAAAATACCATATGTATGTTGGTAGAACTTAATTGCTGACTGACGCTCAATATAGTGAAGATGGCTTGGTTCTGGGAAAGTTTAGACCATTTACTGATTATATAAATTTAGTTCTGATATCTGCAGTTTGTGTGTGTGGTCTGTAATCAATTTGTCTTGCCTTTTGCCTGTAGAAACCGCTACTGCTACAACCAGAAAAACCACTGAGGCTTGCATCCCGGACTATTTTCCTTTGAAGAAGTTGAAACAAGGGACTCCTTTCTAATTTGGACATGGCTAATCGAGGAGCAACAAGGCCCAATGGGCCAAATGCTGCAAATAAAATATGCCAGTTCAAACTAGTACTACTGGGAGAGTCTGCAGTTGGCAAATCAAGTTTGGTGCTCCGTTTTGTAAAGGGCCAGTTTCACGAGTTTCAAGAGAGTACTATTGGAGGTGGGAAATAATGTTTCTCTTTCATTTGTGTAATGAGTTTGTGTTATCTGTGCCAGTGAGTCCCAAGTATAATATAATGACTCAATTTGGGTTGTTGGCAGAACCTCTGTTTCAAATGGGGAACCCCTTCCTACCCATTACCCAATAGGAGATGGCAGCAATTTGATCTGTACGTTTTGAATCACTCAGAATAATCAAAACTTGAATTTTTGTTAGATACTTATGAACCCAACTGAAAATAAAACTACCTCAGCGATTCCACAGGCTTCGTGCATAATACTGAGCTGCTTAACATGAACAATTTTGGTTGCAGTAGAACAAAACTTAAAATATTGAAAAAAAAATTTACCATTTAAGCAGTCTGACTCTTATTTGTGAGTTGGAAAGATTTACCATTTATCTGTACTTTTCTCTGTAGCTTAGCAACTGCAGGATTTGGTTCTGCTCTCACCTCATATAGGCAAAGCAGACTCATTGGTTTCTAGATGAAGAAACAGTGTCTTTATAATTTATACCTTGCCTTCTACTTTAGTTGTCGAAATTGAATATTTATTTATTCCCATTAAACAGTTTCCTACCCCATCTATGTGAAGAGAAGCTGCTTGTGTTCCCTACATTTAACTTATTTGACTAAATCTGACTAATTTACAAGATATGGATGGTGGTTTTGGATAATCATTTATTGGAATAGTAGACTCACGAAAATTATGCACTTAGATCCTAGGGACCAGTGGTAGTTTTTTAGTATCCCCTGCCTCTGCTACTTTAGTGAGCCCAATATCCATTGTGGTATTTACGTCAATCAGTTATTGGGCTTCACATACTCATTTAAACATGAGTTGAAGTTAAAGACTGACAAAGGTGACAAAAATAAGGAAATTCCAAGTTAAATCTCTTAACATCAGTTTATTGCCTTGTATGTAGTTGCAACGGATTCTGTGGGTATATAAAACACTACTTTGTTCCTGTGACTGTTGATAGAAGGGGGTTGATCATATTCTGTTCTAGTACTGTATCTTCTTAATGCAGTGCATTTCTGATGCTAGGTACCGTTTATATTTGCTGACATGAAAAGTTGTATATAAAACTAACTGGTTTTCGATAACATTTTAAAAAGTCCCCAAGACAATTGCGTGCAAGTAAATTGCTAGCACCTTTTCCATAAATGAAAAATAAAGCAAAACAGTACTGTGTGATGCAGCAAGTTCATTACTCTGTAAAATGAATTCTGTAGTTACGGGGTTTTTTTCCCATTTACCCAGGTTGGCTCTAATTTTACCCTTCTAAAAAAGTAAAATACTACTTGAAAATGCTCATTGGTATTACGAGCAAGCTGCAGAAGTACAGCTGATATATTTACAATATGCAAATTTATAGATATTAACTTGTGCCTCTTTTCTGACTTTAAATAGAGAAGGAAAAATGCATATTGCATAGTTCATCCAGCAAAGTAACTCAGTGCAAAAGTGTCTAGGTTCAAAAAACACATTTCATTTGGAGAAAATAATCTGGAATTGTGTGGCCTTTATTCATTTAAATAAGTTTTCACTTTCTGAGTATATAAAATGGCTTTTGAACAGAGGGTAGCCTTGTGAATTTGAATAATGGGACTTCTCAAGAAAATGCATTTAGGCATATTGAAAGTTTGTGCTTCTGTGTGTCTGAGATGTAGGTTTGAAAAGAACTTCAGTGCTTCTGTGCTACCAGTTGGTGGAGCAAGGCTCTTGAGTTGTTTTAACATGATTATCCTGTTAAGATTAACAGGAGACTAACAGATGAACAAGATAGTTTAATTAATTTTGGTCTCAAAGTAGGAAAATGCTCATCTCTTCCAGGCAGACTTATGAAAACTTGGAAACCTTTTTTATGATGTAGAATCATGGTAGGCTACCTCTTTCTAGTTGCAGTTACCAGCTACGCCTAGGGTCAGAGATGACTGAGCACTAAGACCCCTCTGCAGCCAGTGTTTCATCCCATGGCAGCACCTGCAGTCGAAACTCCCTACTCCTGAAGCCCTGTGTCAGTGGGCCAGATCCAGTGGCTGCACAGGCTATAGATTGCTGACCCGTGGTGTAGAGGACAGTGCTTTAGTATCGTTAGATGGCAAAGGAAAGAAAAATGCTTGTTCTTGTACTGTTAGCTGGTATTCTGGTTCATTAACTATTAGGCAGCAACACATTTTTTCAGAAGTCATACCTATAACATAACTGCAGACTCTGCCAATTTTACTTCTTGCTTCCTGCAAAGCAGATAGAATCTTCCCCTGAACTGATTAGGAAAGCAAGAGCTGTGTTTTCAAGAATCCTGGCAGGGAGCACGCAGCTAAAGCTGACACTAGGTTGTTAGCATTTTGGGGTGTGGAGAACTGCAAAGATGAGTCTTTTGTGTCAATATCTGGAGGTTTAGTGGTGAGGCCAAGTACTATTCAGCAATTGGACTCTTCTTTGTATTTCAGCAAGGAACATGCAGAAAAGTATGCTAAGTGAAGTATTTTAGGGAGATTATCCATTCTGTTTTTTAAGTGCCGTTTTCGGTCATAGAGTGGCAAAACTGAATCAAGCAGTATTTATGTCACTTTCTCACAGGTTTATTTAAACTGCAGCATTTTTCTGCTGATCATCAGGGGATCTGCAAATTTGGAATCTAGTTTAGACTAGAATCTAGTTTATACAACATAAAATCAAGGCAAGTCTCATGTCAGTCTGACAATATTTTCTATTAAAATCAAAGAAAAGACTAAAAGAACACTGAATGCAAACCAAAAGGTTAAAAGAATGATGCACAGTAAATGTCAATCTAAATCTGATAGTGTGAGGTGTCCTTGCCTGAGGCTTTGAAGATTACATTTACGTGGTAAGCTTACCGTATCAGGGGACCAGTGCCCTCAAGCATGCATTATTGCTCTGCGTGGATTGCTTCTGAAACCAGAAGTTCAGATGCATCTGCAGTGTTGTGGCTACGCTGCTTCTGGTATAGGAGCAGTACAGCATGGAGTGGTATGGCATGCTTTAGGGTGCTGCTATAAGGTACAGTAAATTTATTGTGTTACAGGTTACTTAAGAAACCTGCAGGGCTATAAATTATTCTCTAGTCAATCCCTCTTGTTAATATGAATTTGTAATTATTCTTGACCTTTTCTAACTCTTTCATATGATTAAGAATAAACTTCTTACTATATGTGATTCTTTGGAAGTTTTTATTCATAACATCTTTAATAGAGCCTTCCAGAATGGCAACAATTCTGGAGGGAGAGAGGTTTGGTATACCAGTATCTTACATTTCAACAGTAGTTGAATAGTTTCTTTTAATGCTGGAGACTATGTAGATGACACCATGGTGGTTCAGAGACTGTACTTTTGTAAATGATTTTTTTATGAATTATGAAATTAGTTAAATGTTTACAAAGAGTCCTGATACTTCTGTTTCTAAATCTCAGTTGTGCAAAACCAAATCTCATTGTTTTCCACACTATTCTCAGAATTGAAGCTCTACCTGTTATTTCTACTGAAATGGCAAAACTATTCAGTATTTTGGAAGGACTGAACTGATGGCCTACTGCATGATGGGATATCCTTAGTATTAGTCTTTCATGCCTTTTAATCCATCTGGATGAAACACTTCTGAAAGGTAGAGAGCTGATTAGTGGCAAATCAGCCTCAGTACTATAAAACTAAACATTCTTCTTTAACCACTTTTTCCTTTTCCTTTCTTAACCTTAATCGTTACTGCAAGAGAAGACAGAGTATCTAAGTAATTCCATTCTGCCTGTTGGAGCTGAATAGCTGTTACAAGTATTCTCTCCCAAATATTGTTATTATCAGATGAGTTGCTGTGCTGAGGGAACATGTTTGTTACAGTGTGCATATAATATGAATGTTTAATGAAGGTTGATTAAACTTTTGGTTTCAACTTCTTTATCTCTTGTAGCTGCTTTTCTAACCCAGACTGTATGTCTTGATGACACAACAGTAAAATTTGAAATTTGGGATACAGCCGGTCAAGAACGATATCACAGTTTAGCACCAATGTACTACAGAGGAGCACAAGCAGCAATAGTTGTATATGACATTACAAATGAGGTAAGTGCAGTTTGAAGAGTCAATCAAGAGACCTGGGATTTTCTTCCTGTTTCACTAACTTGTGTGAATGTGGACAGATGGGTGATGTCAATTATAGCTGTAGAGCTCAGTGTCATTTCTCAAGTGTAATAGGTGCCATGTGTAACAACAGTATATAAAGATGCAAAGTTCAAAATTTGCACAAAACAATTTAAAGGTAAATCTTTAGGTTTTCGCTCAGACTAAACAATGTTATCAATAAGAATTTCCCCAAGCAAGACTGGATCTAATAAATAGAGAAAGTAAGCATTTCAGAATTTAGCCTCTAGTCCAGCATTGGGTTAGGAATTATTTTTTAAGAGGTGTTCAGAACAGTTTGTCAATAATTTGGTGGTCTCAGGGAAGAGGATAGTTAAACATTCTCTTTTGGTTCTTTCCCTGTCCTTACTCTGCGCACTTGTGAGTTTTATGTTAGTTTTTTTGGTTATATGGTTTCAGCTAAGCACCTTTGGGAATTAAGGTAGGAATGTTTTGTTTAAAGGGCATGATTTAGCTTGTGGCTTTGGACAGTGTGCATATAGTAAACATTAATAGGCCTTTTGTCCAAAGAACAAATATTGTATATTGGGATAACGGGTAACTACAGAAGGGCAATAAAATTGAGTTAAGTTATTTTAAATCATTAACAGGAGTCGTTTGCAAGAGCGAAGAATTGGGTCAAAGAATTGCAGCGGCAAGCAAGTCCTAATATTGTAATAGCTTTAGCAGGAAATAAAGCTGACCTAGCTAACAAAAGAGCTGTGGATTTCCAGGTAGGTTGTACATGTTCTTGTTTACAAAATTAGTATTTTGTTGTACTGCTAGACAGCTTAATATTACTTCTGAGAAGGCTATTAGCTTTAAATTACTTAAGCTAATCCTTTGTTTTAGCGTTTTGTTCATAAATACAAACTATAACGTTTCATTTATTCTATAAATGAATTCAGTGAGAAGAGTTTTTTTTTTTTTGTTTTTTTTTAATATAATTGTGATATATAGTGACAGCTATCACCCAAAAAAGTGGCTTTTCTAATAAACCATTCCTCAAGAAATAGTAATTTCTTTCAGAGATTCTGTATAGTATAGTGTGACGTGTGTTTAAGTATTTTATTAAATCAAATTTGTACTCTTTGAAATTTGTCTCTTCAGTGTTC